TATTCTTCTTTACAAACTCAAACATTCACTATATAAACTGAAAAATGTTTGAAGATTTTGCTTTCCTTTGAATCACTTCATGAATATTTGATTGTAGTCGCACTGTTTCTGAGAACTGCTGTACATCTGTGTTGCATGGAGTCACCCAACTTCTGGCCCCTGTGATCAGGTATTCCAGCCCAGGATGATTGGACTACATTCCACAGTTCTTCTCTATTTCTTGGTTTTGCCTCAAATTTTATATACATGGCCTCAAGTTGTTCTATTCTGTCATTCATACAGGAGCAAATGCCTAACACCCTCTTGAACTGTGATATGGGCAGGCTATCATGGAGATGCTTGGGATGTGCACTCTGGTAATGTAGTAGAGCGTTCCTGTCTGTTGCTTTTGAGAACACAGATGTCTGGAGTGTACCCTGGTTATTAGTGGTCCTCACATTAAGATATGTAATACTGTCGGTGGATATTTCAGGGATGACAATGATACCAGGAAAGATGCTGTTAAGCTGATCGACAAACTCATAAAAAAAATAGATGTTTCCCCTTCCCAAATAAGGAAGATATCGTCAATATATCTTAGCCAGCATTTGACATGATAAGTGAACAAAGGCATGGGATAAATGTTGTGCTCCTTCATATACCCAACAAACAAATTTGCAAAGGAAGGGGCAGCAGAACTGCCCATGGCAGTGCTGCGTATTTAGGCATAGATGGTCCCGTCAAATGCAAAGAAGCTGCTTTCAAGTATAAAACGTAAACAATCAATAAGATATTCACACTGGAGATTCTGGGCCTTCGACCTGGACCAAAAATGTTTAACCACCACCAAACCTGCTTCATTAGGTATGCTTGTATACAACAACAACAAAATGTTTATTGTTGCTAGTTTCCAATTTACATCTAATGCCGAGAATCCCCTGAGTTTATAACAAAAATCCCCTGTGTTCTGAACCAACGGTTAAAGATGAAAGCCCAGTAGCAGAGCCAAAGGTTGAGTGATTGATCCTGTACCAGAAACAATTGGCCTAAATTTTAAAGGGTTTTAAAGTCCTTATGAATTTTAGGTAACCCATATATCACAGGTAGTTTTGGGTGGTCGTCCATCATGAATTTAGCTGTCTCATTAGAGATCCAGCCATTGGCTTGGCTGATGGTGATGTGCGAATTTAGTGTTCATAATGCCTTGTGTAGGATCCACAGTAAGTTGTAGGTAACTAGTGGTATCAGCTACCACTCTGATTGGTGGATGGTTTTTTTTTAAATAGTTCTCCAATTTCTGTCACAGTTTGTCACATGCCTGATGAAGGGGTCCTGCGAGACTTCAAAATGTTGCCTTGCTGTAACTATGTGATCCTTCATTAAACCTTTTGGACCCATATTGGTGATCCTTGGTGTGCTGGTGACATTCTCCCTTGTTGATTCTATTCGGTTCCAGCCAACGGTCGCTGCAGCACCCACTTATACACACAGCCATTTGCAACGCAGGAACGTGTGCGTTTGGATCTTACACTTGCATCCCTGAGCAAGAGATCCCAGAAGCTTGCAATTAAGCAGTCCAGATGAGACTAATTGGGTATTGCACCTGACTTCTCTCTCCCCTTATCTGGTTCTGGGGGTGTACTCACACTGTTCTCATCTGCTAGCATGGTGGGTTGCTGCTGCCTTCAGGCCATACACTGGGCTGGCTCCTTCCTTGCTAACAGGCTGTCCTCCCAAGGAGATGTTGATGCAGTAGAGAACTTCCAGTCCAGCAACCAGCCTGTAGGTAGGCTCCCCTCCCTGGGGCCCCCTCCCAGGCTCCACACCCTAGCCTTTTCTCACTCCATCTTTCACATGACTCCCCTTGATCCCCTGGCTCTGTCAAATTTGAGGATTGCCCTGGTCACCATGCCCAGCCTCCTGCTAGAGGATTGGCCAAAGTCCCTCAAACATGCAGATCTGGGCCTCCTCCCCTCCTTCACCTCTGGAAAGGTGGGAGTGCTCCAGATGCCCTGACTTGTAGAACCTCCCAGCGTGCCCTGAGGTGAACTCCTGTCCCACTCCCAGGCTGCTTCTTTAGCCTCTATCTAACATAAAAATTCTAACTAACCTGGAGGGTGTTACATTATTATTATTATTATTATACAGGATTTACATAGCGCCAACCAGGGGCGGACTGACAACTCATGGGGCTCCCGGGCAATAGGGGATCATGGGGCCCGTGTGTCCTTGCCCAAACTCAAAAAAGCCTATGAAAAAGGTACCAGGGGCATCTCATGGGGCCCCCTACTGACCATGGGCCCTCGGGCAGTTCCCTAGTTTCCAAATGGTCAGTCCACCCCTGGCGCCAACAGTTTGCTCAGTGCCTTACAATATAACGGGAGACAATACAGCAACAATACAGTTCAATACAGACATACATAAACAATGACATTATTTATGTAGTAATTGATCCAGCTGTACCTTGGGTGAAATCATTGATCAATATCAATCAGAAGATCAATCATAATCTCAGTTAAAAAAAAACAAATTGAAGCATAACCTGATGTAACTTTCCTTTTATAACTTTTCCAACTGTTTTACTGCTGTTCCAGGTCATATTTCCTGATAGCTAAACAGCAGCTTTCAAAAGAGACTTTCTCAAGGAGTTGTAACCTTTGACAAAGCAGGCATGACCAGAGGACACCGCAAAGGAGAAAAAGTGTTAAGAAAAAAAAAAATCTAAATAAATATAACTGAGAAATTGAAGAACCCAGCAAATATGTAATAGGTAGTAAATGTTACAAAGGTGAACTTATGCGTTAGCCTAAACTGTGCCACAAAATACCTGCACGTACACAAACTCCTTTGAAATGAATAGGCTTACTTGCCGAATTTATGCTGAGAAATATGTGTTAACTGGAGGTGAAAAGTGCAAGACATCGATTTTAAAAACCCCAGCTCGGGTTTCCGCTCTCTCCTAGTCAAGATTCATGAAAAGTTTACCTAAGCTTTTAAGAAGAAAGTGAAAGGAGAACGGCTCTCCAATGTTTCCTGGCCAACAGGTTAATGTAGACTATATACAATGTTCTGTTTGCAGAAGTAACTTGTTGGAGAGAAGTCACGCGGGGAACCCCAATGGCAGCCATACAGTGGTGGTAATAATATTAGCCAACTCCTTTGTTAGAGTAAGATTAAGATCGAATTGCAAGATTATTGCAAGAAAGTCTTATTTTGTTGGTGATGGTAAAATCTGTCAGATCAGAGGAATTAAGTGTGATTATATGTTAGGTCCTGATCAGACAGGTTTAATATACTCTACTATTTAACCTCTTGCCGTCAGCCTGCTGTTGATAAACGGCAGGGCGGTGGCACTCCAGGGGAAGGTTGCCGTTCATAAACGGCACCCGCCTTTTCTAGCTGTGCGCGCTCAGCACTGCGATCCGGTGCCTGCTGTGTCCTCCGGACACAGTGAAACACCGATCGTCGGACGGGACCTCTGTACGAGGTCCCGATCATGTGATCACTGATTGACGAATCAGTGATCACATGCAAAGTAGTAAGCAAGATGTCACTTGTGACATTATTGCTTACTACGTGTGAAATCTGTGAATGATCACAGAGGTCACATGGTACAAGGCTATTCACAACAGCCTTGTATCATGTGACAAGCTGTGACCAATCACAGCTCACTCAGTACTTCTCAATGCTGCAAGAATGCAGACAAAGAGAAATGATTGATTTTACATCCTATATGGGTGTAAAAGCAATCAGTGTAAAAAAAAAAAAATAAATCATCATCCCCCCACAAGTAGTACAGTGTCACCATGGTGACACTGTACTGCTAGGGTGACAGTATGTAAAAAAAAAAAAAAATAATAATATAAAAAAAATAAAATAAAAATGTAAAACAAAATGTTTAAAAAGTATAATTTTTGGTTATAAACTAATTTGGATTTTTTTTTTTTTTACTAAAAAAATAACGGAATAAATTTTGGCCAAGATTTATGATGAAATATTATTTATTTGCAAAATTTTATAAAACAAAAAAACACTTTTTTTCAAAATTTTTGGACTTTTTCATTTACATAGTAAAAAAACATAAAAATCCCAGCGGTGAATAAATACCACCAAAATAAAGCTTTATCTGTCTCAAAAAAATGGTAAAAAATTCATATGGGTACAGTGTTGCATGACCGCGCAATTGTCATTCAAAGTGTGATAGCTCTGAAAGCTGAAAATTGCCCTGGACAGGAAGGGGGGTAAAAGTGTCCGGACAGGAAGTGGTTAAGAGATTTTTTTACATACTTTTTTTATTTATTGACTTAAAAAAATGTTATTCCTATTTCGGTAGCTACATTTTTTTGCCATTATTTCAATTTCATTTAAATAATTTTACTCAAATAACCACTTCCTGTCCGGACACTTTTACCCCCTTCCTGTCCAGGCCAATTTTCAGCTTTCAGTGCTATCACACTTTGAATGACAATTGTAACACTGTACCCATATTAATTTTTTATCATTTTTTTGAGACAGATAAAACTTTATTTTGGTGGTATTTATTCACCACTGGGATTTTTATTTTTTTGCTATATAAATGAAAAAGTCCAAACATTTTGAAAAAAAAAAAATGTTTTTCTTATAAAATTTGGCATATAAATAATCTTTCTTCATAAATCTTGGCCAAAATGTTCATCTATCTTTTTAGTAAAAACAAAATAATCAAATTAGTTTATAACCAAAAATTATAATTTTTAAAAAACCTTTTTTACATTTTAATTTAATTTTTTATATTATTATTTATGTTTTTTTGTTTAACATACCATCACCCTAGCAGTACAGTGTCACCATAGTGACACTGTACTACTTGTGGAGGGTGATGAAAATTTTATTTTCTTTTTTTAGACTGCTTTTACACCCATAAAGGCTGTAAAAGCAACAATTTCTCCTTCTTTTCTTCTTCTGCATTCTTGTAGCCATTGAGAAATACTGTGAGAGCTGTGATTGGTCACAGCTTGTCACATAGTACAAGGCTGTTGTGAATAGCCTTGTACCATGTGACCTCTGTGATCATTCACAGATTTCACACGTAGTAAGCAATGATGGCACAAGTGACATCTTGCTTACTATTTGCTTGATCACTGATTCGCCAATGTGATCACATGATCGGGACCTCGTGTGAGGTCCCATCCGACATCGGTGTTTCACTGTGTCCGGAGGACACAGCAGGCACCGGATCTCAGTGCTGAGCGCGCACAGCTAGATGATGTCAGGAAGTTACATCTTGCTTACTACTGTTCCTGTGATCACTGATTGGCCAATCAGTGATCACATGAATCGGGACCTCACACAGAGGTCCCATACAGCGATCTCAGAGGTCTCCGGACACAGCGGGCACTGGATTGCAGTACCCCGCGCTCCCAGGGAGCCCGCACAGGCAGTGAATGCGGAGGCCGTTTATAAACGGCCACCCGCGCCTGCACTGCTCCCGTCCAGCCGTTTATGTACATGGGCCAGATGGGAAGTGGTTAAAATAATTCATATTTACCCTTTTGCAGACAGTAAGTGGCAAGGGTGAGTCTGGTACCCCAGGGCTGTGACTGTGGACCAGAACATTAGGAGATCAGATACAGTGAGGAACAGAAGTATTTGAACACCCTGCGATTTTGCAAGTTCTCCCACTTAGAAATTAAGGAGGGGTCTGAAATTCACATTGTAGGTGAGGATGAATGGGGCCATTTATTGTGAGATTGTGAGCAACAACCTCCTTCCCTCCGTCAGAGCATTGAAGATGGGTCGTGGCTGGGTCTTCCAACATGACAACGACCCAAAGGACACAGCCAGGATAACCAAGAAGTGGCTCCGTAAGAAGCATATCAAGGTTCTGGAGTGGCCTAGCCAGTCTCCAGACCTAAATCCAATAGAACATCTTTGGAGGGGGCTGAAACTCTGTGTTGCTCAGCGACAGCCCCAAAACCTGACAGATCTAGAGGAGATTTGTGTGGAGGAGGGGGCCAAAATCCCTGTTGCAGTGCAAACCTGGTCAAGAACTACAGGAAACGTCTGACCTCTGTAATTGAATAAAAGACTTCTGTACCAAATATTAACACTGATTTTCTCAGGTGTTCAAATACTTATGTTCAGCAGTGCAAGACAAACACATTTTTTAAAAATCATACAATGTGATTTCCTGAATTTTTTTTTTAATTTTGTCTCTCAGAGTGGGAATGCACCTACCATGTAAATTTCAGACCCCTCCATGATTTCTACGTGGGAGAACTTGCAAAATCGCCGGGTGTTCAAATCGTCTGTAGCTGAATGACATCCCTACCCCTGCTTATCTCCAGGTAGAGATGCTGCCTTCTAGATCTTCAGTCATAAAAAGTGAAGAGCTAGTGCTGGGCTTTCTAAATGGACAGCCTAGAATGCTCTCATCAACATTCATGTGTTTATGTATAATGTATTTCTTTTATCTTGGTAAATTTGAATTGCTGCATTTAAATAACTCAGCCTTACTTTTATGAAGACAGCAAGTGGCAAGAGTAATAGGGTAATAGTCCAGGGTAGTAGGCGACAATAGACAGATTACATACACAGCTAAGTCAGATGAGGGGCACTCCTCTCCCTACTTTTCTCCAGGTACAGATGGTGCCTTCAAGATTTTCAGTCAAAAAATGAAGAGCTAGTGCTAGGCTTTCTTTTTTTTTTTATTCTTTTTATTGAGTTTTACCTATTACATGTATATAACAACACACACAGTTATAACAGTACAAAATAGATTCATTTGTAAATTAGGAGTTTTATACAAATAAAAAATGGCAAATAATAAGAAAAATCGCATTTAAAAAATAAAAGCTACTATGGTTGTCCTTTAAGGAGAGACCATTCAACTGTATTATTTTATCTCCTGTGCCCTCAACTTCCATCAATTGGAAAACCTCTGTGTGTGATCTAATCACTGACAATGACTTATGAAATTTCTTGTCTGTGGCAATCACAGGACCCCAGGCAGTGGTGATGATTCCCTGCAGGTTGTAAAAAACCCAAAAGTATACTATCAGGCAATAAATCGGTCAATTTGCTCATCGCATGTGATAAGGAGAACCATAGGTGTCACTAAGAATAGAATGCTGAGGCCCATGCCTTAGGTCTAGTGACATCTCTGCAGTGTGACACACTTTGCTGTTATAATGCTGGCAGCGCTGGGGACAGTGATGCCATACCTGACTCTATGCTATGGAGGTGTTTTCGGGGGCTCATAACCAAGATTTTGTGAAACGAGGCATGGGAAACTGACCAATGGCTGGCCATTGACCACTTTTTATGAAACTTTCAATAAGAATTAAGGAACGGCAGAGGATACAGCAGTGTAAAATTGTCAGCAGCAGTACAGTTTTAAAGAGCAAGGCTAGGCCCAAATTTGCAGGAGACAAAGAGCACAGGCTGAACTTTAATACAAGAATTAGAGTGGTTCTAAAGTCATAAGGTTTATTAAGGTATTTCCCTCCTCCCCCCAAAAATACTTACCTTATTCCTGCATCTATCCAGTGCTGTGCCATCTGCAGGTCCTCTCTCCACTTTCTCACAGGCTTGACTTAGTGCAGCGAGCATGGGGGGCAGGGCAAAGCCGCAAATGTATGTTGAAGGACACACACAACTGGCTTTGGAGCAATCCTGCATGTGTGCCACCACTGGAAGTGGCTTCCTGAGGTGGCACAAGCAAAAGAGGAAGTACCTAGTGAGCCGGCGGGGACCTCAGAAGAGGAGGTTCAAGGCTGTTTTGTGCAATACCATTCCACAAAGCATGTTTATTATTTTATTAAAAAAAAAAAAAAAACTTTACAACCGCTTTAATTTATCTCAGATGATGCCGCAGTGTAGAACTGTCCAGCAGCAAGACATTTTTAATGAGCAAGGCTAGGCCCAAACTTACTAGTGGCAAAGAATACAGGCTGGGGATTTTCTATGCCAATTAAAAGACTGGCAAGGATATAGCAGTGTAAAACTGTCCAGAAGCAGGACGATATTAAATCCCCGCAGGATCGTCAGAATGCAACCTATACAAGGTGACACCGGACCCGCTCCAAGAAAAGGTAAATTGTAAAGAAAGCTGATGATTCGATCCATCCTGCGGGGATCGTTGGCTTGCTTTACAACTTACCTTTTTGTGGAGCGGGTCCGGTGTCACCCGTGCGGTCGGTGTCACCTGTGCGGACCGCCCCCCCCCCCCCGCACCTGCCTCGGGACGCCACTGTAGCATAGTATACTGTTTTTTTGGGGTTTTTTTTTGGGGGGGGGGTATCAAGTTGGCTGTATGGGGCTCCGTGGTTTCTAACAGCAGCCCTGCCATCAGTGTTAATCTGTATGAGGTATGAGCACACAGATCAAACTGACAGTCAGCAGGAGTCCTGTATGGCACTAACAATCTGCTGATCACTGGTGCAATGCTTTCCAGGCTAAAAAAAAATAAATAAATAAATACACATTTTTTTTACCTGAAAAAATGTGCATTTATTATTATTATTATTATTTTTTTTTTTTTTTTAAGTGAACTTAGCCTTTAATTTTATTTATTGTCCATTGTAAAATGTTGCCTTAATGCAATGCACCTTAACGCACCACAGAGAAGTGATAACGAAGAAAAAAAAAGTTCTGGCTGCACATGAACTGTAATTGGTTCAAAATTCAAAATAATATCAGAATTTCATTTTACCATGCAACCCATTTTTTTCCTTGCAACAGCTGCAGCAGCAATGACCTGTCCCTTTAAATTAAATTGACGGCTGAACAGCTCCCATTAAAAAAATTCACAGACAACAGCGCCATCTGCTGTACGTTCTCCAGTACCGCTATGGGAAAAGGCTTCCCACAGTAAAGATGGTGTCCATAGTACTTCCTGATTATGAGTTTGCTGACTACGGGGGCCGCGGGGGACCAAACTTCGGCTGAGGAAAATCGCGTTTCCTGGTAAGTGTGCTGTCCTGTCTCCTGCTATTGGTAATACTCACAGATTTCTGGGCATTTTGCTCCCCTGAGATCCTGTGTAATGGAGGCACAGGGTTTTCCTGCCAGTATTCCAGAACACCATTGCACTGAGGTGTGTCATGTGACCCTGACCCACTGTAGGTCATATAGGAGATTGAGAGTAATGCAGTGGGGGCTCCTTGTGAGCTCAGGGGAGGGGGGGGGGTTGTATTTAATGTATTCCTGTAATGGAGTTGCTGGTGTTACAGTGGAGAATGATGGGGGCAGCCATTGCTGAGCTCTGTTATGGACAATGCTGGTTCCCTGGTTATCATGGTGATCCTTGGCCATCAGGCCTGCCTGGAACAAGTATACTCATCAGGGACTATGGAACTTCCAGGACTGACAACTTATGGAGCCAGGCAGCTGGCATTTTCTGAATGCCCTCCTATACATTTTCTGAACGCCTTTCTGCTAACTTTGGGTAAATGCTGCTGTCTCATCTCCACCTTAAACTGTCTGTCAGGGATCGCCGCGGCGCTGGTCCCGGAGCAGGCGCAGTATGCCGTCTCATGCGGGCGCTAGGTCCCGGCCAGCCGCGGCGACGGAGTCCGCGCATGCGCACTGGTGTTTGCGGGTGCACGCCTGGCACCAATGACATTATTTAAATCCCCCCTGTGCTGTCACTGGTTGCCGTATGGTCTTTTCTGTGATCTCTGTTCCTGAACCTGTATTGTGAGTATTTCTGACCCGGATTGCCTGACTTTGCTGATTTCTCCTGTCCTGACCCCTGGCTTGCCTGACCCCGCTCCTGAATGTCCCTTTATAGATCTGACCTCCTGTTACTGACCTGGCGTGTGACCCGACCATTCTTTGCCTGCTGCTTTGTACCGCACCGACCCCCCGGCTACCGACTTGGCTTGTCTGAATTGCTGGCAGCAAAGATCGATCCACTTTAGTTGCTCTTCCTGTTCTACCAGCTCATGGCTTCAGGATGGTGCAGACTTTGGCGGTAGCCTCCGGTCACCAGGATACATGTATCTCTGGAAATTCCTTGTCGGTCCTTTATGTATGAGGAATTAAACAAACACAACATATCAAAGTGGCAAAAGCCAATGAGAACTAAGACGTTCTTCAATAGACGTCACCAAATCAGTAGTAATCTCAGGGCCCATGTGTCCTACAAGGCTTGACTAAGCTTTTAGCAAGCTCTAAGCAGTTTTCTGGAAACCCAAGGAGACTTCCACCTTTAAAGCTGACCTCCGACCTTCCCTTCCGTCTTGCACAGTTGTACAGGCTCCCCCATCAAGGCATTTTGATACTTGCATTACTCCTCCCAAGAGCCAGCCCACTGCTTGCAATAAGGACGAGGGCTGTTAAGAGGAGTACTGAGGCAGGGTGCTGTGATGCTTTCAGGAAGCTACGTACAGCGCCCTACCGACCCCTCCCACCAGCCGTGATCTGCCTACATTGCATAAAGAAGTACAGAGACCTAGTGATGACGTCAACTGGTCTAAAATAAGGTATAAA